AGGGTAGAAATTCAGCAATTATCACCATGGGTCGTCTGTTACAACCTGAAACATAAAATAATATCTATCATATTTTTGTTATTGTAATATTTCCATATTATCATCATACCAAAGGTCATATTTTCAAAATGAATTGAAGTCATAGGATTTATGAGTTTAGAAAATTCATACTCCACACGTTTTTTGTGTTATAAATTTATATCAAATGAAAGTACCATATGACTAAAAGGTGTCACTAAGTAAAATTTAGTTAGGATATTATTCTCTTCAAGAAATATCAGTTAGTGGGCAAATAGCATTGTAGTAAATGTCTATTTTGGCATGTGGTATCTGGTAATAAAAATAAACATAACTAAATTAGTTGTGCTAAAACACTGAAATGGCGCTCTTTGTAAATGTTAAGTAATACTATTTATAACGGAATTTCTCTCCGAATTAACACACCTCAGTTATTTGTCAGTTTTTTGTCAAACTCATTAGAAATCCTGAAAATTAAGTGAGGTCTCCTTGGTCTGCGGTCATTAGATCCACGAGGCCTTTCGCGACAACACATACATAGAAAGCAAGGAACAAATGCCTATGGAGGAACTCGAACCCGAGACCCTTCAGTCCAAGGCACTGAATTAGCACACGCCTTAGCCACCTCGGCCATCCAGGTCGGGGCCAATTGTGACAGCGTTCCATACAACTAAATCATATCATATTAATGAGACGTAATAACAGAACTACAGCTGCAAATCTCGGGAGGCGGAATGACATTGTCGCATTCCAATCCAGTATTCCTGAAGGCTAGCAATTTTTCTTTCATATTACATTTAAATCGTTTTTTAAGAGACAAAACCTAATTGTGCTAATTTCAATTCGGTTTGCGGATCGCTTGAAAGAAAAATACAGCAGCACAATGAGAATGAAAATAAATTCTCATTCCTCGCACCATGGACAAAAATTATGGGTTTAAAATACATTTTAAAACATTAATATAAAAACGTATGACAAAAGCGACAATAGTAATACATATGACAATAGTAAACGAACAAATACATATAAAATAATATACAAATTTTAACTTAGGTAGCGTTTAACTGCCAACAAATACTTCCAATATTACGTTCACGAAGCGCGGTAAATTTGATGACTATGACGACAAATAACACAAAAAATATTCATATTTTCAAAAAAATCACCATGAACTTATTTGAAAATAGTTTTACAAAAACAGATTTGGAGAAATTCTTGTTTCTGATATATTTTTAATATTGTACATATTTTAGTCAATATTACCCGAAAACTATTAAAATGTTCCAAAACATTGCCATGACTTTAATGAAAGTATTTATGAAAAACAAATTTTATTTGAAGGAATAATCTTTATATTGAATCTTATAATTATAGGAAGGTGGCGAAAAAGTTTCAAACATTTGCAGTTTTCGGAGTTGTTGAGTTAACTGTGGAAATCAACCCTACGTCGCCTTTGTAAGTGCTGCGCGTAAGTACTGCTTTGCAAGTACGCAAGAGAAAAATGAAGCTCCAGTTACGGGTTAATAATCAAAACGTTCCTTGGAATCCTCCAAATAAAACCATAAAATACCTAGGAGTGCTCTTTGACATCAGACTCACTTGAAAACCGTAAATTTTAAACAAATGTAATTAGACACAGGCCGCATGTTTCAAATTGTATCCTTTAATAAACAAAAAGTCGGCTTCAACAACAGATCTTCCCCTATTACTTTACATAACTGCCATTCGTCCCCCACGTACTGAAGGGTGTCCGGTCTGAGCAGGAGCTGGCCCTTCGGTACGTAATACGCTCCAAAAAGTCCAAAATAAAATCTTTCGCACTGCCGAAAATGGGCCTTGGTACGAATCAAACAAGCAACTTCACAGTGAGTTTGTTCTTCCAACGATGGGTCATAATATCAGACATCTACGAAATATTTTTTTTTCCTTTCCTAATCATCCTCCCCTGAAACTTCCATATTCAACCTAGGAAAAACCTATAACCAACGCCGAAGAATTAATTTAGATTCCCAACAGATAAATTTAAACCGCCCTAAAGAGAAGCGTTAGATTTACCGAACTTACTTTATGTAAATTTTGTCTTTCTGTTTTTGTAACCTATACCCCTACTTTCCCATTTTCATCGCATACAGTAACATAGGCACCCAAAATAAAGAAGTTGTCAGACCCAAAGACTTGATACATATTTTTCCATGTTTTTCGACGTGCTGAATCCAAATCTGAAGTCAGAATTGTACCATTGTTGAGGCGGCGAAACAGTCGAAGGAAAGTTGGGAGAGCATTTTAATAGAAGCTGCAACGAAACATCACCTCTTCTATCAGTAGTTTTTTGTCAGACAAGAGTGTTCGGAACAAGAGACGACACACAATTGACAAAGATTATTATTTGGAGAAAGAATTAACGAGTATTGACGAAATTTCACAGTTACCTCTGTCCAAACGAATTTAAACCTTTCCTTACGAATTTCGTGTTTTTTACTCAGCTCTCTGCATTAGCTTGTGATGACAAGTCTAGAGCAAGAGTCTGAGGTAGAAACTTGGCGACTTCCTAGTATTGCGACAATCGCAATTTTACGATGTCCAGGAGTTGATGCGATCTTTCGGTGACGCTCCGAACTAACAGGAAACAGCTGACAATCTACGTCAAGGAACTTTGCACGAAATAAATGAGTATTTGGTTCACAGAGAAGACATTCGCGAGGCTTTTTGGGGAAAATTAAGGCTATCTCCGAGGTGCAAGTTTGACATGTATAATCCTTGCCACTGAAACACCTTCAAAGAACATCAAAATGCCCTGTTAAAAAACAAGGCGCCAAATTTGAAGTAATTTGGCGGTCAATGTGCCAACAACCATCACCCTCCATTTTTTAAATCGCAAAAAACATCGTTTTTGGGAGTTATTGTCAGACTCAAAGACTTAACACATGTTTCTCACTATATGTAAACACACGAAATCCGTATCTGAAGCCAGAATGGCGCCACAACCTTTCAATTTTTAAATCGCAAAAAAACACCGTGACATTGTAGATTGTAAATTTTTGAGAGTGTTTTTTGCGATTTCAATAATACTAGTGGTTGGTGGCGTAATTCTGGCTACTACAGTAGATTTTTATTTTCATTTTTATTTTCAAAATTACGCACTAGTAACGGAGCTTCTATACCAATTACAAAGAAAAAAGAAAAAATAGTTGTGGACAGACAACCATCAAAAAGCGTTTGACGAAATCAAGTACATGTTTTTACGATCGTGCAGCATTTCGCATCTAGATTTCACAGCGAAAATGTACCTACAAAACGAGAGTAGTGACTTACGTGTGAGAGACATTCTCTACCGATACCTACAGGATGAAGCAAAGATCATAAGTTTTGTCCGTACGACACTTAAGGGACCGCAATTACGTTTCACGACGGTGGAGAAGAAAGCTTATGCCATTGTTTGGGTGCTTCCAAATCTGAAATCATTCTTAATGGGAAGGAGTTTTGTGATTAAAACAGAGCATAAGGCTCTGATATTTCTTAATCGATGCAAATGGCAAAATGATCGGGTAATAAGATGGTCACTGTGGTTGCAACAATTCGACTTTCAAATTGGGTACGTTGAGGGCAAAAATAATGTGTTACCGGACTTCCTCAGACTAAAGTTTCAATCTCAGGATGAAAAAGTCACCCGAGAGAAAACTGATAGGCTCAACCCCATCGATTTGAAAATACCTCAAGGATTTCTGTGGGACTGGGCCAATCTGGCAGAACATCAAAATCAAGACGCCGACATAGGTCAGGTCAAGCGTGTGCTGGAAGGAAGAGTGTAACCGGAAGATGGCCAGGTGGTCGCAAGAATACGACAAGATCGCGAAAAATGGAAGTTAAACAACGAGATGGTACTCGACAAAATGAACACAAATCCTAGTTCATATCAAATTTGTATTCCGAGATCGCACGCGGATGAATTAATCAAATATGTTCATGCCAAAGCGGCGCATTTCTTAATTTAGTAAGATTAAATCAATAATAAAGGAGCTATGTTAACGAAGAAACTCCGACCATGGCATTAAGAGAGTGATCCAGTCATGCGAAACGTGTATGAAAAAACAGTTTCCAAACCGATCGTACGCAGGAGCAATGGTACCGATAATACCTGAGGGAAAACATGACATTGTTGCCTTAGACTTGTATGAGCCACTGCCGAAATCATGGTGTTGAAACAAATACATTCTAGTAATCATCAACCTCTTTACCAAGTTTATCCAATTAACAAAACGACCACAAAACAATGTCTACGATGTTTAGACAGGTATTTCGAAGTAACTGGAACCTATCGTCGAGTGACCACGGGTCCTAATTTACAAGTCAACAAAAGAACAGATCGTTAGAAGAAACAAAATGTCACACCAGTTTACTCATTAATTTGCCACCCGCTGTCGAATCTAGAGAGAGGATGATCAAGGAACTTTCCAGATTGTTCCAGACGTATTTTAGTAAAAAACACGATGACTGGAGTGAATTAGTGCTACATGTCAACAGATGTCTAAATCATGTGCCACACGAAAGCATCGTTATGAGTCCATGCACGGCTCATTTCGCTCGCTCATTTCGCTCATGTGTTGGAATATTGTGGAGGAAGATCACTCAACGGAGCAAAAAATTATGTAAAGACTCATCAAGGCAGCCGACGAACGGAAGATGGTTGAAAGTAAACCATTCGCTTTCCAAGTAAATTACAAGGTTATGTTGAAGAACCCGAGGATATTGGTGGCTAGATTGAAGTTATTTTCTAAATTCTTCCCCTTATACGAAGGGCCGTATACGGTGTCAAGAATAGTTACACAAGATGTCACCCAGCTAAGTAGCGATGTGAATCAGGTGTTAGGAACATTCGATTTCTGTAACCTCAAACCATGTTAAACAAACTTTTAAAAAATTAAATTAATTAGATAAAATTTGATGAGATGAAATGGATAGAAGTCGGAGAATGTATTTTTGATAGAAGATTCTTTTTCCATCCCATTCTTATGGATGTCAAAAAATCT